TCCCCGTCCCCGTCCCCTCCTGCCGAGCCCCGGGTGCGGCTGGCCCGGCTTTTGGGGCTGCTGGGACGCTCCCAATGTGTCACAACCCCCCAGGAGCTCCCAGTATCGCTCCAAGCCCATTTACTGGGGTGAAACCCGCAGCTGCCAGCCCAGGGCTCCCAGCCGGGAGATGGATTTGGGCTGGGACCCTTCTCCCTCGCCGCCGAACCAGCTTTTTAATGGTTTGATTTACTTATCTCCTCTCTGATGGGCTGATCTACTCCGCTGCCTTTTAATTGCTCCCAAACTCGAGCGGTTTTTCATGTTTTAAGAAATGCTGAATGGTGTAATTAAACCCCTGGCGGCGTAAATCAGCGGCGCGGGAGGACGACAGCCCCGAATTAAAGCTTTTGGCATAACAATAAAACTAAAGTGGCGTGAAAAGCGCCCGTTCTGGCACCGGGGCTGAATGCTGACGCCGAAGGGGGCTGAGGCACCGTCCAGGCACCCCAAAATCCCGGGATTTTGTGGGATCACGGAATGATTCGGGTTGGGAGGGACCTTAAGGCTCACCCTGTTCCACTCGCTGCCCCATCCCCGGCAGCGGCCGCGGGGTTGGGTGTTTTGGAGCAGCCTGGGATAGTGGAAGGTGTCAGGGGGTGGAATGGGATGAGTTTAGGGTTTCTTCCCACCCAAACCATTCCGTCACTTGGTGATCCCTTCATTTATGTCATTAATGAAGATGTGAAGTAGCCCCGGCCCCAGAGAGGACCCTGAGGGTCACCGCTGGTCCCTGGTGGCCATCAGCACCCTGAGCCATTGACCCTCCGGAGGGGCCATTCCAGCCGGCTCCTTGTCCATCCACAATCCCATTTGTGTCCCAAAACGCAGCTCGGCCTCGCCGTGGGAGCAGGGGAAGGGGCTGGTGCCTGTCCCCCCTCCCCTGCACCCCCGGGGCGGCGTCATTCTCCAGGGAAAGTCATCACTTTTCCTTTATTAATAATATTTAAAGCCGAGTGGGTGCCTAAATCAACAAAAATAATTCATGAGAGTCGTTAGCTCCTCAAAGTCGGGCTCTTTTTACGACCGACTTTAAATTAAAAAAAAAAAAAATAAAATTAAAAAATCCCAAACCCCAAACCCCACCACGTTCGGAATCCGCAGCTTTTCTAAGACATCAAATGCGCTTCCTGCCGCCTCCCCCCGGCCCGGCTCCGCCGCCGGAGGAAATTCAATTAACGGCCTTAATTCACCCTCCGACTGCCAGATTTAGATTAAAAAATCCTTCGCATTCTGCTCGGGAAGTGCCGTGAAAGGATCGGGGGGTGGGGCGGGGGGGGGGGGTCGAACCTCGTGGTTTTGGGGTGCCCTGAAGCCCCTTGCTGTGGGGTTTGTGAGGACAGTGGGGACCCTGCCCCTTCCTCCTCCTCCTCCTCCTCCTCCTCCTCTTCTCCAGCAGCTCCAGAGAGAATCCTTGGAGCCACATGGAGGAAAAACGGGATTCCAGAGGCACCCCAAGGCACCCCAGCGTTCCCAGCACCCCTCCCAGGAGCTGCGGGTGCCCTTGGGCACCTGGTGGCACTGGGGGGCACCTGGGGGACCTGGTGGCACTGGGGGGCACCTGGGGGACCTGGCACACAGGTCCGGCTCTGTCCCTCGGCCCCCCTGGGGACCCCAGGGACCCCAGCAGCCCCCGCGGGGGGCACGGAGGTGCCGCAGGGTGTCCCCGCTGATGATATCACCTTCTCAATCACCTTATCACCTTATCAATCACCTTATCACCTTCTCAATCACCTTATCACCTTATCAATCACCTTATCACCTTATCAGTGTTGGCAGCGCGAGGCTGGAACTGGGTGAGCTTTGAGGTCCTTCCAAGCCAAACCATTCCATGGTTCTACAGCCAGCCGCAGTTTCGGGGTCCCACGGGAGGTGTCCCTGTCCTCGGGAACGGGACTGGAGCCCCAGTTTGGGCCGAGAGGAGCCGGGGGGGACACGAGTGGCTGAGACACGGCTGGGGTGTGGCAGGTGGAGCCGTGCAGCCCAGCGCCCGGCAGAATCCCACCATCAGGTTGGAAAAAGACCTCCAGGAGAGAATCCAAGCTGTGATCCCCACCTTGTCCCCAGCCCAGAGCTCTGAGTGCCACCTCCAGCCCTTCCTTGGGCACCTCCAGGGATGGGCACTCCAAACCTCCATGGGCAGCTCCTTCCAGGAAGGAATTCCCCCTGAATTCTTCCCAACAGAAGAATCCCAGCTGTACACACAGAGCAGCGTGTCCCCACACCGTGCCCAGGGTGGTGGCACCACGCTGGCACCTCTGTCACTGTCACCTGGTTTGTTCCTTGGTAAAGGAACCCTCAGAACAGCGATTGTGCGGGAGGTGGAGGTGGGAGCTGGCAGAGGGAGCAGCAGACACGACAGGACACGTTCACTGGAGATTTGGGCACAAACTGCAGCAGGAATTGATTTCTCCCCGAGTTTAGCAGAGGAGAAAGGTGGATTGCCCTCCCTTAGCACTAGCAGGGACAGGAACCTCTCCCTATTTCCCTCTTTTTTCCCCTTCACTCTCATTTTCCTGCGAGCTCAGCTCTCGGTGCCGGGCCATCAATCGGCTCCTGGGGCAGCTCCCGGGCCCATCCATCAGCCCGGCTCACACCGGGCAATTTGGGGCCCAAACCAGCCTGTTTGGGCAATTTGGGGCCCAAACCAATCCTTTTGGAGGCTCCGTGGTGTTTTCCTGTCTCTTCCCCCTTTGTTCCCTGTTTGTGGAGGACAAAGGCTGAGGGGGGAACAGGCAGCGCGGGCAGAGCTGAATCCCAAGAAACAAAGCGCCTGTTTTCATGGAAATGCCCTGGAAATGAGGCAACAAATTTGGGGAAGGGGGAGCACAGGGCTGGGGGTTTGGAGTTGGCACCGCAGCGTGGCCAGAGCAGGGGGAAACCGGGCTGGAAGTTTTCCTGCAGGCGCCGGGCACTGCTGGAAGCTCTGGAATACAGAGATATTTTTAAATTAGGGATGGGCTGGGCTGGATCCTGCCCGGGCAGAGCATCCAGACGGGAGCCAGGAGCAGCATCCGGATGGGGAGCGGCCCCTGCTTTGCCTCCCATTGTTTTGGGGGCTGTGGGAAGCTGGAGCCGGGGGGTGACACCCCAATGTCCCCCTCTGTGCCCCTCAGAGGGGATCTGCTCTGTGAGGTGCTGTGTGTCCCTCACATGTCCCCCAATGTCCCCAAACCCACCGGGGTCACCAGTAGCGACCCGGCGATGACACAGGACATGTCCAGGACCTGATGGGGTGCAGGGAGCCCCCACCCACCATGGGGCTGCCACGGGCGGGCAGTGCCAGGCGGGGGCGGGCAGTGCCAGTCGGGCACGGACCAGGCCCCGGTGGGTGCTGGCACCACGGCACGTGGAGTGTGACACGGGTGGGTGACACCGTGGTGGCACTGCCGGGTGAGGACAGAGCAGCTCCCTGTCACCCCTCTCGGCTCCAGCCGAATTTGGTCTCATCCTGCAGAGGAAGATTATGATAATTTTCCTCCCCCCTTCCGCATAATTTTCCGACCGGGCTGCAGCAGCGGCGGTGGGAGAGGCTGGGTGACGGGAATGTCATCTGCGATTCCATTATCTCCTCCTGCCTCCCCGCTTTCTGCTTCCTTGTGAAACCTTCATCAAAACCTGTCGATCTAATTAGGACAATTAGAGCGCGCGGACAGCTGAAACCCGCCCAGAGCCGCAGCGGCGAGAGGGGCACCAGGCTTTGGGGGCGGGGTTTGAGGGGTTTTTTGGGATTATTTTGGCTCTGCGGGGGGATGGATGGGATGGGGGGAGGGTCCCAGCCCCATGTGCTGCTTCCCGGAGTTGCTTTTGGGGTGCAGGGCCCCAAGAGTGACCCCACGGCTGTGTCCTGCCAGGGGACGGGGAGGCTGTGCGTGCTGGCGACACCGCCGTGTGCCACCTCGCTGGCTGTCACCAGGGAGTCTCAGCGCCTGGCTGGGGGCAGCTGCCACCCCTGCCGGTGGCACACGCTGTCCCCCATCCCCGGGGCGCCGCTCGGCTCCCGGATCCTCATTGGCATTCCGCGGGCGCGCCGCGGCAGCTGGCGGGATGGCAGCGGGATGGCAGCGGAGTGACAGCGGTGACAGGTAACGCCAGCCACGGCCGCGGCCGCAGCCGGCGGGCTGGCAGCCGGGCCGCGGCCCCGCCGCGCTCCCGACACGTCTCCATGTGCCGGGGAGGAGCGGGAGGGCGCCGGGGTGCGCTGGGAGCTGCTCCAGGACCGCCCGCCCCGGGGTGCCGGGGATGCTCCAGCAGCCACGGGCACGGCGGGGACACGGCGGGGACACAGCGGGGACACAGCTCTGCTGCACCCACACGCGTGTCCCCACGGTGGGATAAGGCTGTCCCAGGATCCAGGGGATGCTCCACGAAGACAGCGGCAGCGAGGGCACGGCTCCTCCGGGATCCAGATGCGTGTCCCCGCGCTGGGATGTGACAGCGACAGCCCCCGGGGATGCGCCAGACCCCCGAGCTCGGTGCGGGCGCAGCGATGCTCAGCCCGGGGCGCTGGGGATGCTCCGAGCGGGGAGTTGGGGACCAGCCCCTCCTGCCACACCCAGACGGGGACAAAAAGCCGGGCGAGGACATTCAGTGACCGTGCACCCATCCCGGGGGGCCGGAGGGGGAGGGACGCGGCGGGCAGAGCCGGCTGCACGGGCAATTAAGGGAAGTGCCAATTGTCAGCGGCCGTGATTAACGCTGCTCCGAATCCGCATGAATATTAACGGCCGACACGGCCCAGGCTCCCGCGCCATGAATTCTGGATGAATCTTAAGATAAATCGTTTGGATAACTTAGCGGCAGCTGTACTCCCTCGCCACCCACTGCTTCCCAAAATCCGCTCGCGTCAGGCGAGAGGAGCCGGCACGGGCCGGGAATCGCCGCCGGGAATCGCTGCTCGGGGCCGGGGTGTCGGCATCGAGGGGGGAGCGGGGTGCCCAGGGCTCCCCAGAGGCGAGGGCAGAGGCTGCGCGGCTCTGGCGCCTTCCCAGGAGCCGGTGACAAATCCTGTCACTCGCCACGCCGCTGTTGTCTTTGCAGGGAGATATTTGCATCGCCTCGGAGGCTCCTTCCCGGAGGGATGGCATTTGTCACCGGCGTTATGGATGCAGCGCGTCCCCTCTCCTGACACCACATGCCCATTAGCAGGAGCACATCCCGCTCCTCCAGCCCTGCCGCGAGCATCTCCAGGCACGGGAGCAGAGATCCATCTTCCCGGCGGGCCCCGCCGCCCCGCTCCCCATCGGCATTCCGCCGCCGCGGGCTCCCGGTCCGAGCTCCGCCGCGTCCTCCGGGGCCGCGGCCTTGATTGCATCCTTGTGCTTCCATAAATCAGAGATTCCATAAATCAGCCTGGTGGCGCGAGGGGGGAATGGCAATGGCACAGGCAGGGGACGAGCACAGCCTTGTCGCTGGGGTGAGACACAGGGACCACCCTGTCACTGGGGTGGGACACGGGGACCAGCATCACCCTGTCACTGAGATGGGACACAGGGACCACCCTGTCACTAGGGTGGGACACGGGGACCAGCATCACCCTGTCACTGGGATGAGGTGCAGGGACAACCCTGTCATTGAGATGGGATACAGGGATCACCCTGTCACTGGGATGGGATACAGGGACCACCCTGTCACTGGGGTGAGACACAGGGACCAGCATCACTCTGTCACTGGGACAGGATGCAGGAACTGTTCTGTTACTGGGGTGGAACACAGGGACCACCCTGTCACTGGAATGGGATGCAGGCACCCTTCAGTCACTGGGATGGTGTGCAGGGATCATTCTGTCACTGGGATGGGACACAGGGACCAGCATCACCCTGTCACTGGCATGGGACACAGGTATCATCCTGTCATTGAGATGGGATACAGGGATCACCCTGTCACTGGGACAGGATGCAGGGACTGTTCTGTCACTGCAGTGGAACACAGGGACCACCCTGTCACTGGGATGGGATGCAAGGACCACCCTGTCACTGGTATGAGACACAGGGACCACCCTGTCACTGGGGTGGGACACAGGGACCGGCATCACCCTGTCACTGGGACGGGATGCACGCTGGCATGCCAGGAGCTCTCCCAGGAGGAGAACAGCTTCTCCCATCCAGCACCTACACCCCAAGGCACCTTTGTGTCCAGGGATGCTGCCGGAGCTGGGACCTGCCCCGATGCCCTCTGGATCCCCAGGTTTGAACAGCCTCAGGAGTTTTCCCTTGGCAGGGATCTGCTGCCGCCTCCTCCTCCTCCTCCCCCTGCCATCCGTGGCTCTGCAGAATCCCTCACAGCCCCTGCGTGACCTGCCGTGGCACCGTGCCCGTGGAAAGCTGCAAACCCGACCCTCAGCTGCCAAAACGCCGTCAGAAAAATCAGGAAATCAGGTGCAAACGGCAAGAGGAGATTAACGGGAGAGGAGCGATTGAATCAGGGGCCATTAACAGATTAAATCATTACACGGAGTCAGATCAGCACACAAATAATATGAATAATAAACGTGGCTCGGGGGCAGCGGCTCCCGCTTCGCGTTTGTCTCAGCCAGAAGGCGAGGGCTGGTGACTGCCACCACCCACGTGCTGCAGGGACAGGGGACACTCGGAAGAGCTCTGGGGGTGGGGACAATGACACCAGATGTGCCAGTGTGACCCTGCCCCTTTCTGCGCGTCCCTTGGGGACCCATCAGCATCCTGCTCACCCCAATGAGGCCTTGCAGCCCCCCCAGCCCTGCAGGGACCCCCGCTCCTCATCCAGCCTTTCCTTCTCCTCCCAATCTCCTTCCCTGCTGAATTTCCTTCCCTGCCCAGGTTCCCCTCTGGAGAAGGGGAGCAGCCACGTCCCTGCTCTGCTCCAAAAGGTTCAAAGGCAGTGCAGACACGCCAATAAAAGGCTCCAAACATTGGGAAAATGTCTTTTCTCCCCAACTTAATTTCATTCCCGTCACCAAAAACCCCGAGGAGTTGGAAACAAAGCCTGAGCAGCCTCTGCATGGGCACGGGGAGGGGGTCGAGCCCTCCCTGGGCTGCCACAGGGTTAATTCACATCTCAGCACGTCACATTTATTCTGCTGGCGAATCCTTTCTTCCCGAAATTCCTGCTTGCCCAGGAAGGCTGGGGAAAGTCTGAGCTGCTGCGACAACACCTGGGAACGAGCATTATTATGTGGTGTGACAAGGTTTGATGAATTCCTGTGTGCCTGGGGGAAGGGACTAAGTAGGTGAATGAAGTGCGAATATTCTCCGTGACAATCAATAGGCTCGATTGAGCCGCCTGGCAGATGTGACATTTGGATTTCACTTCCCTGGACAGACTAACTGGATTTGTGTCCTCGGGAAGCGGGAACAGCAGGGAGGGAAAGGCTGCAAGGGCTGGGACAGCGCAGGCACAGGGGTGGGGTGGGGCGATGGGCTGGGGTCGTTGGTTTGGGTTACAGAGATGGGGTGGTGGATTTGGGATGGTGGGTTTGGGTTATGGAGATGGGGTGGTGGATTTGGGATGGTGGGTTTGGGTTATGGAGATGGGGTGGTGGATTTGGGGTGATGGGTTTGGGGCCATTTGGAGATGGGGTGGTGGATTTGGGGTGATGGGTTTGGGTGATGGAGATGGGTTGGTGGATTTGGGGTGATGGATTTGGGGTCGTTGATTTGGGTTACGGAGATGGGGTGGTGGATTTGGGATGGTGGGTTTGGGTTACGGAGATGGGGTGGTGGATTTGGAGTGATGAATTTGGGGTGACAGATTGGGGATGATGGGTTTGGGGTTATAGAATGGGGGTGATGGGTTGAGA